AATGGGGCTAAAGTAATATGTAGTGAAGACAACAGTGAACTTCCCAGAAATACTGAAAGATCCACACTCTAATCTATCTTCTGCTAAAGAAACTCAAACAGAATTATACGTGGAAATAAAAGAATGAAGAGAAATTCACAAATTTATTCCACAGGAAAAACAATGAAACCATACTTTAAATAAAATAAAAGGGTGGGTAGGTGGGTATATGCTGTCAAAAGAAAATAAAAAAATCAGTATGGAATCTATTAGATTCATTAGAAAAAGACAGCTGGTCTGTTATCAGTAACCACTGAGGACCACAAAATATCTTAAATGAGCTGAGAGATTCCTCAGCTAAGTAAGTAAACCTAGTAAAATATCCCCCAAGCAAGAGCATTGCACAAACACCGTGAAGGCAAACTGGAAGTGGACTCCTTGCCACCACCAGCCATTCTATTAGAAGACAATCTCAAGAAGACAGAGAGCAGGTATCTCTGCTGACAGGATGCAGGAGTCATCATCATTCCTGGCTGTCTCGTGGTGTATGTGTGTACACACATACCAAATAATAGTATCTTAGAAGGTGAAGGCTCTGAGTAACTCACACATGTAGTTTTTAGGGTAACCACCACAAGCTGGGTGCAAGGTCTACAAATGACACCAGATGCAGAACACAAAGACAAACTGTCTGCCCTTCTACTGTATCTGCAACAGTATGTTTACAGTCTTAAATGTATAGAAGCATCCTTTCAGACAAGGGAGATGGTACACCTCACTGCTTTCCTATCATGTTTATGTTTTAGTTTAATGTATATAATTTTAGTATGGGCTGAGGATGCAGCTCAGGTGATAAGAGTACGGCCTTAGCACACACAAAGTTGTGGTGTTGACAGAATGGTGGCATAAGTCTATAACCTCAGCACTTGGGATCAGAAGTTCAAGGTCATCCTTCGATTTACAGTGAGTCTGAGGTCAGCCTGGGATACCTGAGGTCCTGCCTGCAAATAACCCAAAATATCTTGTTATAACTGTTTTTCTTTGGCTCAAGGGCATGTTCATAGTCACATGGAAATTTTATCTTTGTGCCTAGTTTTTAACATGATGCATGAAGGTTAGGGACTATGGTGTCAAGTGACCTATGTTACTAAGCATTATTGTGTGGTCTAGAACAGGCTAGCAAACTCCAATACATGGCCTACAGATTAAATTTTGTACTAACAAAATAAGAATGATATTCACAGTCTTCAAGTGTTGATTACAATCAAATGAAGGAAAAAGAAAGACTTGTCAGAGATTACATATATGATCAAAAGCGCAAACCACTTAAGCTTTAATTTCTTTGTGAACATGTGAACACATTTGTGTACAGGTGAAAATGTAAGTCTGTGGAAGCCAGAGGTTGATGTCAAGAGTCCCCCTCAATGGTGCTTCCCTTTATTTCCCTGAGACAAGTTTCTCACTGAGCCAGAGCTTCCTCATTCAGCTAGACTGTCGAGTTAGAGAGTCAGGGAACAAACTGTCCTCTGACCTCCACATGGGTTCTGTAATATGCACAACCCTTCCCCTACCTAATCCAAAAAAATGTAACACAACAGGACATACATTCATTTTTGGCCAAATAACCCTTAGTCACCAGAAAAAGGGTGCATGCTTCACAGTTCTTTCCTTGATCATTTTCTAATCATTTGCAATTACATTTAATTTTTTCTTTCCCCCCTGCATATAAGCGAATGCTGGTGCACAAAGCTCATGTCTTATGACAGAACCCAGATAGCTGGGGATCTAGGCCAGCTTGGATTGAACCTCTGGTGTCTCTTACTGAATTTCCCTTAATCATGTGTATAAGGCAATGGAGATACTCTCTGGGCCTCAGAAACAAACTTAGAAAAAGGATGTAGGAATACACACACACACACACACACACACACACACACACACACATACACGACATATAGATAGATATAGGAAGAAACATGTACACTAAGGCTGGGGGACCACAGTTTTGGATATATGAGAGAGGTCAGGGAATATGGAAAAGAAAATCAGGCTTGTGGGGCTTCATAAAGAGTTCAGAATGGGAGGATGGCAGGCTTCACAAGCTATACAAAGAATTCAGTATTTACCTACTAGACACCATGATGTTTTTGGACAGGGATGTGACATGATGAAATCTGAATTTGAATGAACATTCTAAATGTACTGTGGAGGAAAGGGGGTATGGGGTTAGAAGACAAAAAGAAAGAAGCACACAGAAAAGTTATTCTTGTTGTAGATAAAAGGAGACTCTGAACTAAACAGTGGTGCAACAGCAGGAAGAGAAATTTGATAAACATTACTCAGTTACAGCACGAAAGGTACCCATTACCATAAGTAATGGCTGAAAAAGTCAATTCCTAGAGAAATAAGGTACTGTGGAAGCTGCACTAAGGAAAATAGAGAGGAAGAAACTAATTTGAAAAACAAAACCCTAATGAAGCAGAAGTATCAGATGAACAACTAACTGGCTCCAGGCACTGAGGAAAGAAAAATAATGAGCTTCTGTTTCATGGCTTGGGCCATGGATCAAAAACAAAATGGGAATACAAAAGTGGACTCTGAAGAAAGAAACTGAAGTTTTCAGTGCACTATACAAAAGGGGCCTAAGAACCATCCTGGATGAGTTTTTTTTTTTGGGGAGGGGGGGTTGAGACAGGGTTTCTCTGTGGCTTAAGAGGCTGTTCTGGAACTCACTCTGTAGACCAGGCTGGCCTTGAACTCACAGTGATCTGCCTGCCTCTGCCCCGCAAGTGCTAGGATTAAAGGCGTGTGCCACTACCACCCGGAGAGATTTTTTTTTTTTTTTATTAATACTTAAGCTGGCAAGGAGTTTAGGACAGTTTATCAGGGTAGTTGGCATTTAATCAGCATGTATTATTTGATACAGTTAAAACTGCTTCGAATTTCTGAAAATAAGTAGCTAAACCTATTTGAAAGATGAATAAGAACTGGCTTAGCTCTTAAGTAATATATCCAAGTGGCCATGTGTGTAGTGCTAGAGGTAGATCTGAATAACACTGGAATCTTGACTCATTTCATGCCTATGTTAACTTCTTCACAGTAGTCACCTCTGAGGGGATGGAACTTGAAATAAGGGCCTAGACCTAGGAGGCACTAAAGCTGAAGGGGCTGGCAGAAGATGAGGGAATCCAGAGGCTGCAGAATACTCAGTGGAAGCTGCAGGGAAAAAATGAATTGAGATAGAGAAATTCTTATTTTTTTTTTTTTGATTTTTGTTTGTTTGTTTTTTTCCAAGACAGGAAAATATATGTGAAAAATATATGTGAAAAAAAAAATCTCTGTGGCTTTGGAGGCTGTCCTGGAACTAGCTCTTGTAGACCAGGCTGGTCTCGAACTCACAGTGATCCACCTTCCTCTGCCTCCCAAATGCTAGGATTAAAGGTATATGCCATCAATGCCTTTAACAATGTTATTTGATGCAGAGATTCAAGTCAGATGGAAGGACCAATTAATGCAAGGCCTAAGACATCATTCCCATGAAGTTGTTAATCAAGAAGCTAAGGCTAGACTGCACTGAGCTTGGGGGGGGGGGGCTGTGACAAAGATGGGAAGAATGCAGAACCAAAAGCTTAGTTTTCTACGGAACAGACTGAGGAGGCTAGTGAGATGTCCTCAGTTGGGAGAGCTTTGTTTTGTTCTAAAGATAGAATTCCCAGCATTCTTTCATGCCAGATGTCCTTATTTAAAAAAAAAAAAAAGTTTCATAAATGGCCCGTCAAAACTTGTGAAAGACTTAAGACACAAACAAGACCTCCCTCGCTCCTCCCATCTTCCGAGGGAAGTTTTGTACAGATTCCTCTCCACATTTTGAACACCCACATGGAGCTAACTACTGATTGACGATGCTCTCACTGAGTTTAAGACATCAGCCCCAGACACACCAAATCTCTGCCTTCCTAGGTTTGCAAGTCACCTAAGCTTGCAAACTCTTGCCTTAGTTTACAGGGCTTCGATTTCTTTGAACTGACTTTTTATCTCCCCTCAGAGAGGATCTGAGCATTCTACAAAAATCACACTGCTACCTTCTTCTTTATTTTTCCTTCCTGAAACAGGGTTTCTCTGTGTAGCTTTATCCTGGAACTGGCTCTGTAGACCAGGCTGGCCTTGAACTCACAGAGATCTGTCTGCCTCTGTCTCCTGAGTGCTGGGAGGCTTGCACCACCACCATCCTGCCTTACCTTATTCTTTACCATGGTTATTTCCCCCTCCCAGTGTTCAATCCAATCTGTAACTACATTTTTGTCCACATCTAATTGATTCCAGTATGCACTAATGCTCCCAGTATGTTCGGTTTTGTTGGCCTCTGTGGCTTTCAGTCCTGTTGTTTCTGGAAAATGATACGTGCTTAATAAAGAACTACATAGCTGGGTTTTTTCCTTTATCACCTTCCTTCATTGGGTCCATGCATGCTACTTCTTAAAGCTTATGCCCCTTTCCCACTCGTTGTATTAACATATACAATCACAAATAGCTAGCATGTATTGCCCTCTTACTAGATTATTAGGCTCTGTGTTATATAAACTTTACTATATAATTTCACTTAATCTTTACAATAACCCCCCGGTATAGGTAAGTTTTTAAACAACTATCTCCATTATACAAGAGGAAGTTGTATAATTTGCAAGTAGTGAAGCCAGGATTCGAGACTAGTTTCTTAAAAACAAAACAGTGCCTGGCCACGGCTCGCTTCTGGTGAGGGCACAAATTCTAGTTAGGAAGTCCTGATGCGCTTTTAGCTATGTTCTAAACTTCTGCTCTAATAAGACTACGTCCTAGCCTAGAATTCAAACTTTCTTCCCCTCTTGGACCACTTTTATGCGATGGAGACAGCAGAGGGGTAGTGGAGGAAGATGTGGGACGACGCGTAAACGCTAGTAATTTACTTCTCAGCACCTCACCGGAGACGAGCGGTTTGGGATCTGAAACCAATTCCCGCACCCATCAGTGACCAAAACACTTACCTTAACCGCCACCTCCGGAGCCGAATCTACCGCCACTGTCAGAGAGGGCTTGGCTGAAGGCGATTTGGTCAGGTGCATGAGAGAGTCGGCGGCTGGCAGCGGACACCGACTGCCCTCACTGTCCGAGTCCGATTCGGACCCTGAACCCGAGCCATACGAAGCAGCTAGAGCTGCAATCGCAGCGGACATGACTGCAACAGATCCTCTCTGCTGTGGTCAGGCCAGGGCGGAAGAAGCAGCGACTCCCAGGTCCTGACAGATTGCCAAGGAACACTTTATTTACCTTCTTTAACAAAAAATCATTTATAACTTCCTGAAAAAAATATAATGATTATTACTCTGACTGCATCAGTATCTGAGACTCGCAAACATTAATCTAGATAAGCACAAGGAATTACAACTACTTATAACTTTCAGGACCTCGTTGATTAAAGCCCCACAGTTCTGAGATACCTTTGAAGCCTCGAGGTCCTCCACTCCCGGCGTGCAGAGCGGTGGGAAGCGCGAGGCACCATGGGAATTGTAGTTTGGAGGGAGGAGGCGGAGCCGGGCTGAGGGGTCGGCCTTCGACCCCGCCCCCAAAGGATGGTTCATTCAATTGGATATCATCTTCCCTCATTCCCTAGCCCAGCATCGTTCTCTGCGGCCCCCTCCCCCAAAGTGCGGATTGGGCAATACCACGGAGCCTCAGGACAGGGGGAAGCTCCGTCCTCTTGCCCACGGACGAGTACGTGAGCGGAGGCTGAGTCTCCCGCCCTGCGACCCTACGCCCTGCGGGACTCAAGGGGACAGTGCGAATCTTCAGGTCTGAGTCCTGGGGCCCGCCTGGCGCAGCTCCGGGGGAA